GTCAATATAAGCTGTTGACAACATAGTACAATTGACTATGGACATAAAAGGAGGAAAACTTATAGAAAAGGGTTTTCATCTGTGTTGTCGAGCTGGCTTGGTCAGGAATTGGCTGGATTGAAGGATATGTCTTGGGCTTATAGATTAATGTTTGCCAACTTTAATGGTTTAGGACCTTTATATCTTTGAATATAATTTGTCAATCCGTTATAGTCTACTGACAGGGGTAGAGAACTGTTGATTTCTATTGTTTGTGCAACATATACAGTCATGATTCTGCTGTTGGTGTCAGTGAATGCAATCTTCATCATGATCTATTTTGTTCTGATTCTTCTTTAAACTGTTGGCCAGGGTTCTCCTGATCTAAAAGCTGCAAGAGAGGTAGCAGATTATCTTGGAACTCGTCACCATGAATTTCACTTCACCGTGCAGGTTTATTTTTCTTTCTAGCTAAGAGAAAATGTATCTATTTTTGTCTTTATGATTGATACTTATTGATGGTTTCTTTTTCCTTAAACCAGGAAGGCATAGATGCACTTGAGGAAGTTATATATCATATCGAAACATATGATGTGACTACCATTAGGGCGAGCACTCCAATGTTCCTGATGTCTCGAAAAATTAAATCACTGGGAGTAAAGATGGTGATTTCAGGGGAAGGTTCAGATGAAATATTTGGAGGTTACTTATATTTCCACAAGGCACCTAACAAGAAGGAGTTTCACGAAGAAACTTGTAGAAAGGTATTTCAATTGTCTGAGCGATATTGACGTCTCCTTCTTGTACAGCTTACTTGAGAGGGATTCATAGCTCTCTTTCACTGAGTTCCACTGATAATACAGTCCATGTTTACTTTTTTTGTTTTTAACAGATCAAAGCTCTTCATCTTTATGACTGCTTGAGGGCAAACAAATCAACTTCAGCATGGGGTGTTGAGGCTCGTGTGCCATTTCTGGATAAAGCATTCTTAGACGTTGCAATGAGTATAGATCCTGAATGGAAAATGGTAGGTAACTACGACTCTTGTTGTACTTTCCACATATAATCAGAGAAAGCCTGGAACTTATCTGTGATTGGAATATAAAAGAAATTTAGTGGTTGGCTGCATAGTTAGTTCGTGGCAACTGCAATTTTGTGTCATGATCAGTTTCTCACATAAAGAGTTTTTGATTGTAGCAGATTTCTTCTCTTCTTTCCATGTATTCTCCTTATTGTTGCCATCTCTCTCTCTCTCTCTCTCTTTTCCATTTTAAATGCATGATAGAGAGCATCAAATTCTATTCAGAACTTGCAAAATAGGTTGTCTGGTCTTTTGGAATAAATGTTGGAGGCTTGGAGATTGTTGTTAATCTATTAAAATCAATGCTGGGGTCTGTTTTCTGAAGGTTTTGAGTCAAACCTGTTGTCTTTACTAATCCTGCTGAATGCAGGTGAGACCTGATCTTAAGAGGATTGAGAAGTGGATCCTACGCAATGCATTTGATGATGATCAGAAGCCTTATCTACCAAAAGTATGAAGCTCTCTTTGTTTTTTCAGCTGACCTAGCATACTGTCATTTAACCCACATGCTCAGATTTCTACATATGTCTGGATGATTATCTAAAGGATACGTTATCTCACATTTGAGTTTCAATCGAGATGTTTTGTTGTTGATCCATATTCATGTGGTTTATATTGGTTCCAGCATATATTGTACAGGCAGAAGGAACAGTTTAGTGATGGAGTGGGTTACAGTTGGATTGATGGCTTGAAGGACCATGCTAACGAGCAAGTATGACGTCATTTAAGCTTCTTCCAGTTATAAGTTCTCTCCTAGTTGCTTTTGTTAAGTACGATGAGTATGGGTTTTAGATTGTACAATAGTGGTGTCGAAGTATCCAAGTAGTATATATGCATTATATGTCGAATGTAGTGGTTCGGATGGATCTATTCCATAAATCTGAGAACACTAGGTATGCTTATTTCTCACAAATTTACGTTTTAATCATCCTGTGCCAGGTTACTGATGCAATGTTAATGAATGCAAGCTTTGTCTACCCGGAAAACACTCCTACTACCAAAGAGGCATATTACTATAGAGCTATCTTTGAAAAGTTCTATCCTAAGGTGAGTTTTGTGCTTTCTTCAACAGTGGTTGGTATGTTAGTTGGAGTCTCTCTCTCTCTCTCTCTCTCTCTCTCTCTCTCTCAGAGCGCGTGCCATCTGGTCTGGAACTAATGGTGATTATGTCTATGAGGGTCATGGGGTCCCCACACAACTATCAAATTTTTTTGGAAATTTTTAATTTTTCCAGTCACTGCATATTATACTGTTATATAGGGTCCTTTGGAAGCTAAATGGGAATCACCATAGCTTGGCATGGAATGGGTTGCGATTTAAGTAGGATATGTCGAATCCTTGCACAACAAAGCCTTAAAATTGTCCTCTATAGGGATTTCTCCTACTCTTGTATTCCAGAGAGCGTGGATCTGGATTTAAGTGACTAGATAAACCACATGTTCACTCTGAAGCTTTCTATTTCTGGACCTAACTTTTGCATCCATGGAAATTAACAAATTGTGATGATGAGTCCATACATCCACTTTTCAGTTAATGACTACATGATATGGAGGTAGCCAATTCTGTCATTGATAATTTTCTTTTATAGAAAAACAGTCATTAGGACCAAAATTATAGTCAATGCTACTGGGTTGCAATTTCCTTTTAGCAAGGTGAGATGTGTTGAAAAGTGGATCAGACTTGCTTGACAGATCTATGCGTTTTCAATTTATTGCTTTCTTTACTCTGCTTATTCCATAGATCGACTGATTAACTCTGCTTCTGAGCAGAATGCTGCAAGATCTACCGTTCCTGGGGGTCCTAGTGTGGCTTGCAGTACTGCAAAAGCAGTTGAGTGGGACGCGGCATGGTCAAAGAATCTCGATCCATCTGGTCGCGCTGCCCTTGGGGTCCATGAAGCTGCATATGAGGAAGCAGCAGAATCTGAGAAAACCAGCACAGCTAATGGTCCCTCTCACAAACTACAAGAAGTCCTTGTAGAGAAGACTACTGTGGTTGCTTAATTAGGAGTTGGCCCATTTGGAGTTCTTGGAGGATTTACGATCACAACTGACAACGAAAAGGTACGACGCTTGTTTTAGCAATACAAGCAGTAACTTGCAATGATGGGGACATATCTAAGATCTGGGAACAACATTTAGAATGTATGAAAAATGAAGCATTAATCTTCATTGATATTTAGGTTATTTTCTTTTGGATGTTGGTGGATTTTCTACTTAGTTAATGGAAGACCTTGGGCTATAGCTCTAATTTGTTTTCGATGGACACCTAAGGAGGTGCTTTTTACTGTAATTAATTAGAATATATATCTATGCTATGTTGAACTCCTTTTGAAATTTTTTTTTATGCTTTCATCATGCTTAATCATAGGGATATATAGTTGTTTTGGTTTCTGGTGCTAACTAGTTGATTCCCAAGCTTAAATGCCTAGAGCTTACTTTGTCTTTCAATCTTTGAAAATTCTCTTTAGTTGACTGTATATGTATTTGTGGTCAATAAGACGAGGGAGAATAGTTGCCTCGATATACCAAATTGCAAATTCCATTCATAGCTCATTTAGAATGTAGAATCATGCATTTTTTATTCTTTTTAAGTTGTTGGACTTGAGCCAAAAAATTTATTTGATTTGGATGGGATGGTGCGTCGTGGATAAATCACGAAATGAATTGAATGGATGACCGAATCACATAATTTTGGCATGCACCATGTGAATCGAATTGGATCCTATGGTGTGAATCATGAATTATCAGATTTTTACAATGGTATCTCTCTGCTGTCTATGGCTGTTGATGTGGTCTGATGAGTGTTTATTTTGATCTTCTCCAGATTCAGTAGCAAGGGGAGGCATATGTGGTCACATCTTGGATTTCCTTTTTATTTATTGTAACAGAGAGTTGCTTGTATATGTGGATGCAGTAGCTTTATTCTCTTTCTGGTTTTTTCCTGGTTTAGTTGCTCGGTTTCATAGTCTGCTTTTGATTATGTTCTTGTAGGGTTGGCAGAATTTGCTGAAAGTTCTAGTGGAATGAACGAAGTTACGTCCTATTTTTCATTTTGCTTCAGTGTTCATGCTCGTGGATATGCATACTCGTGTATGAATTTTTCCTTAGGCATGTGCATTTCTTCCTGATAATTAGTAAGCACTCGTTAGAAAGTTGCAGAGTTTTGCATTCGAGATATAAACGACTGAATTCTAGAGCATGGTGATGAAGCCATTTTCTGTATTCTAAGTCTGGTGGGTGGATTCGGAAAGTATAAAAATCCATCGGCAACATTTCAGCAAAAGTAAAGTTGTGCTGATAGATTTTTTGTAGATTTTTCTTACCTCGAGTGCAGGGGAATCTCTCTCTAGCTGAGACGGCGCAACACAGTTGATCAGTTTGTCGGAGGTCCAATGATCTTGGTTGATATTTTGACTGTCTGATAATCAATCTTAACTATTGTAATTACGAACATTTGTAAAATGCGATTGCCGGGGACGTTGGATTCATGTGTATTCTATTGAAGAATTTAGCATGGATGGATTAAATTTGGTTATTCAACTCGATTGATTAAGTTGCCAAACATGATTTGATTAACTTACTTTGAATGGAACGCTATTTGCCTCCGCCTTTACTTTGAAAGTTGCCAAATTTGCCTATTCGACTCAATGACATTTGCTTCTATGTATACATATAAATAGATAGATAGATGTTATTCCTTTTGTGTAATGCAACGTAAATCTTACTCCTTTTTCTAATACACTTAAAAAAAAAACAAGATTGCCAGAAAATTTTCTGTAATTTTGAAGAGCCATCGTATCTCTATATGTGTAATTTCACTTGTAAATTAGTAATTGACCAAAGGACTAAGAAATTTACCAAACTTGGCAGAGCAATTGCAAAATATCTATATTGTTAGAGCTTTCATTGAAGAACAAAAAATCGACAAAAATGGACTGAAAAAAGGCACTAAAATCAACAAATTTGATGATACTTGAACCGTTCAACCAAGTGAAGCCACCTAAAAGGCCTCGAGAGCAGCCGCTAATGCAAATACATCATAGTCTTCGCGGCTGCACAAGCTGAGACCACAGTCATCGCATTCGCACTCCCCCGCCTTCTTCAACCTCGCCCCTCTCGCTCTCTCCCTCCTGTCCACCACATCTGCCGTGTCCGCCATCCTCAGCCTCGCCGCTATTCTCACCGACGGAGGCTTCACGTCCTCGGAAACGCGCCTTCTCGACGGCGGAGCCATCCTCGCCCACGTCTCCATCTCCATGTTTGGAGACTCCAAGACGGTTTTCCACGGAACTTCTGCCGTGCCCACGACTTTGGATCGGCGTCCGATGGGACCGAGGACGGAGGCTCTGTTCCGCGTCCGAAGCTCGAAGACGACGCTCGCCTGCCTCAGGGATCTCATGGAGTCCTCGTTCCCGGCGCATGCCAAGGAGAAGGACTCGTTCCAAAGCAAGCCGGAGCTCGATGGCGACGGAAGCTCTCGCGTGTTTAGCCGAATCTTTTGGCTGCTGTTCCCTGCGGAGAGATACAGCCTGACGAAGACCGTGTCCGTTGGTTGGACAAGGTCCATGTTCTTGGCTTCAGTGATGCTGATCTCGCAGCTGAAAGAAGAAGGTGGTCTGGAAGCAACCATTTCTCAAAGCAAGATTGATTTTCGAGAGAGAAATAGAGCAAAAGAGTTGAAGTTGTGGGAAAGAGAGGGAGGTCTTGTAGGGTTTTATATAAGCGGGGGTGGAAAGCTAATCATACTTTCATTTTTTTAAACTCCATAACTGAGAACCCAATTTGGACAAGTGGAAGTATTATATGGTCCAATCTCCTCAATGCCTCGTAGACGAAGTAACATATTCCCTAGAATCGGAATCCATGATCCCACACAAGATTGCATGAATCTGATAGTGCCCCTAGCCCACACATGAATGGTTCATTTCTTATCTACTAAACTAAGCCATGGAAACGGAAGTTGGATGATAATTCGTGTCGACATTTTGCAACTGTGTCGTATCAAATTTTAAGTCTGACTGGATAACGAGAAATTTATTAATCGCGTTATATTATTTGCAGTTCGGACTCAATACAACACGTTTAATGCGTTTAAGCTATGAACTCTTATGTATAAATGTGTACAAATGTGTTTTAATGCATTTTTATTTTGGCCTGGAATCTCATAAAGTCAAACACCAAGGAAGCAATTAAAGGAGGAAAAATGTACTAAAAAAGTCATAAACCTATTTCATTAGTTCCAATTCAGTCATAAAATTTTAATTGGATCAATTTAATTCTAAACCTTTTTACATCAATACCAATTCAATCATTCTTTGTTTCCTTCTCTTTTCCTTCCTTTTTTTTTTTTTCCTTTCCTTTCTCTTTTTCTTTTTTCGTTTCCTTTGCCGGAAGCTAGCCTCCATGATGGTTGGTGGAGAGCATGGGCCAGGATGCACTCGCCATCCACAGGTGAGGTTGGCCTTTGTTGGACTTCGTCGGCCTTTGCTGAGGGTCCCCTCGTCGGATATGGCTAGGGGCGGCCTCGCCCAGCCCTTGCCAGCGGCCAGTGGAGGTTGCCGGCCATCACGGAGGCTAGCGACCAGCGGAGGAAAGGAAAAAATAAAAAAGAGAAAGGAAAGAAAAAATAAAAAGGAAAGAATAGAAGAAAAGAAGGAAAAGAGAGAAAAGAACAAAAGGAAAAGAAAAGAAAATATTAATAAGAAATAAGAAAAAATATATATATTATTTTAAAATGTCCACGTCAGCACTCATCGTGCCACATAGAACGACCGGCATCCACGTCAGCGATTTTCGACCTAATTTGGCAGGATGAACTGAATTGGTATCAATTTAAAAAGGCTTAAGACTAAATTGATTCAGTTGAAAAGTTTATAATTGTATCGATACCATTGCAATAAATTTAAAATTTTTTTGGTATTTTTTCCATTAAAAGAGGAATGAACTCCGAGAGTTGGCATAAAATAAATCTAAAAGGGAAGATTGGGATGACAACACCCAATTTAATAAGTGATTTCTTGACACATTAGATCTGATACTACTTCATGTGGACAACTTGTGCCGATAGCATTACCTTATTGCGTGTAAATCTGTGTTATTGCTTTTATGAGGATGGAGTTCTTATCCATAAAAGTAATTTGAGAGAGAATATCGCCCACCAAGATCTTACTTTCACTATTATAGTCATGATAGTGCATGAACTGCATCTTGGGAAATCGCATGAGATCTTGTGGGGAGGATTATCCTCTAGTAAAATAAACCCTAGTTGATCTTGAAGCGCTGGATTTGAAAGATGACCCTATCGTTTGGTGTAATGCTAGGGGTTAGATTCTGATTTTTTTGCCTTTGTTTATTTCCCTTAGCCAGGTGGATGGAGCATATCCATGGACTTGACTCTTTTTGACTTGGGTGGGAAATGAGTCATCTGGTCAAAACTAGGGTTTTTAGGCTGTGCCCAACTGAGAGATTTCAGGGGACTTCCATGCACTTTTGGTATAGGGTATCGTCTGAATCAATTTTCCTGCACCTCAATTGATCCACCTCTTCAAATGATCGGTCATTTATGTTAATTGCTCGTGTTTGGATGAACACATTTGAAGTTTGCCTAGACTAACCGAAGCTTCACAATGATGTTCCTTTTACTTAGACTTTCAAGAGAGGTTCGCGAATGCTAAACAAGTTCTAAAGTTTTGTTTTGTAGCGATTGATTGTAAATAGATATCTAATTGAATATATCCTACAAGATTTATAGGATAAATACTAAACAGGTTGATATTTCAGGTACTTCGACTTAAAAAAAATGTCAAAGCAGATACGCCGTAAGAGTCAGATTGAGTAGAAAGTAAAAATCAAAGTTTTCTTCGTATAATAACGAACAAAAAAAATGGCGACAATAAATCATAAATTAGATTAGCAAGGATGATAAGTGGATAGTGGAAGTAGAAGAGAGGGGAATGACATGGAACTCCTTCGACGAAAAAGGGGAAAGGTCCAACTTCGAGGTGGGAAAAGCCACTTTGCTGAGTAGATCTGAGAAACCCTTGTCTTCCCGTGTATTGTGTATGGTTAAAGTTGGGGTTAGTCCATCCTTTCTCATGTATTTTGATTTTTAAGTAACATTTTTGACACCCCTTTACTTTTTTATGGAAAAATAATTTGTTCTATGGCCTAGCGTTTCGACAACATTTCAAATCAGATTAGGGGTGAGCACCGTGTCCGATTCAAATGGGAATCGGACTGAACTGGCTTGGACTAATCTGTTCGAGTTCAGTTCTAGAAGAACCCGATTCAATTCCTTGTTTTGCAAACCTAGAACTAGCCAAGGACAGGTTCGGTTCTCAAACCCAAGGCTGGAACCGTCAGTTCTATAAATAAATGGTTGTTTAGTGGAATAGTGTAAGTTATATGTTTTATTATAAGAATTTGGTTTATTACCCAAAATATAAAATGTATCAGGGTAGAACAGGATCGGTGGTCGCATCCTTGTTCCAAGGGGGTTGTCGGGTTAGTTTTCAAATCTAAGTCCGAAATTTGTCACAGATGTACTTGTTTAAGATTTTTTGCGTTAAAAAAATTAGTTTAGGATAAATTTGTCACAAATATATCTAAGTCCGAAATTTATCGCAGGTGTACTAATTTAACAGAGGGTAAATTTATCACAAATATATCAATTTGAGATTTTTTGTGGTAAAAAAAATTAGTTTGGGGTAAATATGTCATAGGTGTACCGGTTTAGGGTTTTTCGTTATCAAAAAATTAGTTTTTGGTAAGTTTGTTACATGTGTACCAGTTTGGAATTTTTCATAGTATTAACCCTTCATTTTAAGAATTTGGTTTTTTACCCAAACTATAAAGTGGGTAGAATCGGAGCCACTTTTCCCAAAACCGACAACCGATTTGGTTCCCGGTTCCATCAAGATTGCAACATCAATTTCTAAATTTTGGTTGGAAATCAACCCATTCTGAAATCAATCATCTTTCGTCAGACACGAAGTTATATTACCCTAGAAATTTGAAATCAACCCACTCTAGCCAGTTCGAATGTTCGGCCTCGATATGGTTGGACGTCAGAAATCCTCTTTTCTCACCTAGCCATGACAAGGTCGAACTCCCAACCAAAATTGACCAGACGTTCGGTCTTACACCTCGGAGAGCATCAACTTTGATGTCCCAATCAAAATTGACCGGACGTTCGGTCTTACACCTCGGAGAGCATCAACTTAGATGCCGGACGCACAATAGTTGCAGGTCCTCACTCCTTCATTTGGGACGTCCATTTCTTAACCTAGGACACCGACTCACGTCCTCACGCACGCTGAACCATCTCACTCACTCCCGGTGTCCTCGAATGCCAATTTGAGTCGGTTCCAAACCCAATCCAGTATAAACTCCGAGCTATGTTTCATAAATTCACCTTGGCGAGAAGTCTAAACTTCTATCTCGTTGATCATCATCTCTCCCAAGCCTCGCGCTCAACCACCATATGTGACATTCCTCCACTTATTAGCTTAAACTTTTGTGTTGAACTTTTTAACATAGTATCAGAGTTAAGTTCTATCCCGATTTATCTTATGTGTGCGTCTACCTCATTTGTTAAATTCCACATGTCATTCCTAATTCGGCTTGAATGTGAGATGGGTGTTCAAATATCCCATGTCGCTTGATTAGGTGGTTTATATATTCTTTATATATATATGTGTGATATACTTTCACTTATTAGATAATTTTTTGGTGGATTGAATTTTCTAACACGTATGAGAAGCCTAAGCTCTGCTTTGAGCTTTATCAGACGAATAGGATTGGTCATCATGCCCACAGGATTCTCTGCGGAATGAATTTTCTTTGCAGTCATGCCTCTTTTGGCGTATAATCTACAAAGATATCAGTTCTCACTGTACTTAGTTTCTTATGACATCTCTAGCTAGCTCCGCCTGAACACTGAATTAGCCCATTGTTCCAAGCCACGGTCATTAACAGAGACCTTTAACCGTAGTGCGTCTTCCACTTCTTCCATTGTCCCTAAATGTTTGGCCTCAATTTTTTACGAGACCACCGTGTCTCGTACTGATTCCCACAAACTCATTGCACAACCTAGTGCATCGTGACAATCTCAATGACAATTTACTGCAGTTGGGAAGAGGGGCACTTATAGATTTCATCAACCAAATATTGAAGCGCTCCAACGCTTTCCTGACGGAACTCCTCCGAGTTATTAACATTATCCCAGTAGTCTTCCTCTGTATCTTGATAACTGACACTTCTATTTCTGTAACTAAATCGGTCATATGTATTGGGTAGTCTAGGGTCTCTCTCACCCCAAAAGCAAACTCAAAAGGTGAGGCTCTCCATCCAACTTATATACTGATAACCGGCTCCTTCCACAATTGATATGAGATAAATCTCAACAATTTCCTCCTAACACAATGGACTTAGGTCGGAGCAGCAACAACCCTTTCCTAGTGAGAATTGGGTTCAGACTTGTTGGTAACATGGACTCTAATATTAGTGTTGGGTGGTTTTGGACTCTCTCACTTCAAAAGTTAGCTCAAAACGAGTGACTTTCACTTGCACTTCAAAACTGACCACCAATCCTTTTCACAATCGATATGGGATAAACCCCAATAATATGTACTCCTGCATTCTTAACTGTTGCTCCAATTC